GATTCTGTTAAGTGATGGTCCAAAATCATATCCATTCGGATTCTGTTGAGTGATGGTCCAAAATCCCTTCAACTCCGTGATTCCGTTGAGTGATGGTCTGGAATCGTATCTGTTCGGATTCTGTTGAGCGATGATCCAGAATCTCTTCTACTTTGTGATTCCGTTGAGTGATGGTCCGGAATCTTTTATACTCCACGATTCCATTGAGTGATGGTCCAGAATCATATCCACTCAGATTCCGTTGAATGATGGTCCAAAATCGTATCTTGGTTTGGAACTACTTGGTGTTTCGGTTCCGTTGAATGGTCCGGAACCCGACGTTGATAGATTTCGTTGAGTGGTCTGAAATCGCGTCATTTGACTTGTTGGTTCCTTGGATTTGATTTCAGCTTCAGAGATGTAGGCTTCAGCCGAACTGTGTCACTTTAGCCCTGCATTTCAGTTTATGATATGTGTTATTGATTGATGTGATTGTTGTCATTATGATTAGACTTGTTGACCAATGTGGCTAAAGAATAACATTGTGCTTCGTTGACTATTCTTTGAGATGTTGCATACTATGAATTGCGGTATTATGTGAAATATAGTGATTTATATGATGGATGAATTGGAAAGCATGTATGTGAAAATGGCATACCTGTGTGCACGATAAGGTGATAATTGTTGTTTGGCATAAGGTTGATGTGTAGTGTGGTACTCTATGATTTCTACTAGAAGTATTTTACGAAAAGATTAGAGTTTGACGATTGACGAACTACGAATGGCTTGATCCCTGTTTAGGGTACGTAGGTAGTCTAATGAGGAGGTTAGATGCAACCATAAAGTATATGCGATTCAGTTCTCGAGTTATGCTTTGCCTTATCCCAGAGACGAGGTAAGTTAGAGATACAGGTATTTAATGATGTAACGTGTCGATCCTGGACATATGTCGAGATTAGGGCGTGACAAGTTTTCTAAAAAAGCTTCAGACTTGATTAACAAGGTTGTGATGTTGGAGAAAGGTACTGCTCTTCTATCTTAGACCTTGAAACCGTTGGATATGAAGCTGAACTGTTTAGGTGGTGGTAATTGCAGTCGTAAAAAAAACAAACTGCAGAGGGGCCGAGGAGTTCCAACTTGAGGTGCTCAAAGATCCCATTCAAGTTAAAAGAAAAGGGCGCTTAAGATAAGTACAAAAGAGAAGCAAAGTTAAAATTGGAGACGCAGGAGTGGGAAGAAGAATTGTCCACGGCCAGACATAAGGTACATAACTTAAATACGGTTTGGTTAACAATATATTTGTGGCTATAATATTTGAAATAACTTTGCATTGATTTGTAATTGTACCGTTCTTGCTGACCGAGCTTAAAGAATGTACACAAGCACCATCGAGCACCGGTCACGATGATGTTACCGAGCAAAATGAAGCTGTTAATCCTGAGCCTAATTCAATGACAACCCAAAGCAGTAACATTGAACTTACAGGCGGCAATTCGGGGGTGCTAGATGATTTTTACGAATATACCATTGAAGAGGGTGTGAATAATTAAATTGTGGATATTCATTTTGTATGCAAGATATGTTAATTTGATGGGGATGAACTATTATTTACCTGTGGTCACAATTGGTTTTTCAAAGTTTGTGTGGGTGACAGTAGTGATGGAATGTGTCATTAACTTCAAATTTTGTACCGAATACCCACATAAATCCATCAATCAAAAAAGCAAGGCCGCAACAATTACCGAAGCACCAAAAAATACATCTCAAAATTGTTTTCATAGTGAAGGCAACACCGCTTCTAAAAAGATCTATCACCTCTAATGAAAAGACACCACAGATGTGGCCAGGAAAGGCAGCTCAACCGTTGTAGGCCGTGGAGCGCACAACCACCATGGAGAACAAGTCGTAGGAAGTGGATCCGACCTATCACAACCATAAATCTTGCCCACAACCACAAATGAAGGCCAAATACGAAGGCTACCTAGGCTTGAAAAGAAAAATCCAACAAAATTTGGAGGGTTGTCTGCAAAATGGTGGGAGAGAGAACGAGAGGATAGGGAATGTGAAGTAGCACCAAGGAAGGCACCAGATAGGCATGTAAAGGCCTAAACGAGAAGGGAAACATAGGTGATTTAGGGAGGGGCGCAATGAGGGAGAGGGGCGACGTGGTGGGACTAAGTGAGGGAGGGCAAAGGAGAGATAAGAGAAAATATTGTATAAGGGTTTAGAGGGTTGCCGCCAACCCCCAAGCTGAAGCAAGGGACTGGGGGCTGTAAGGCTTTGAGATTTAGGGTTTTTTGGAGAAGAAAGGTTAGAGAGAGAAACTGTACAAGAATGAGGAAGCAATGTGAGTCATGTGACTTAAAGTTGAGGTGATAAAGTATAATTTACTCCACAAAATATATACTGCTGATGAGTCATGACACCCAAATTTTATCCTCTTAGATCTCCAAAATAGTTTATGCTCGTTGACCTATAATATTCAAAGACTTGGAATTTTTGGGGTAAAAATTATCTAGGTGATGCTAAATAGAGCTCATTAGTATAAGTATATCCCATCTCTATTAGGCAGATGATTTACATATAGTCTACAAAATGTAATCGCCCTAACATTCTCCAACTTATAATACACTTTAGTTCAAAGTTGATCTAGAGTCATGTTGGTCCTCTCCCATTAAATTTGGTATTATGGGCTATAATTTTGAATTTAATATGAAGACGAAGGATGATGTGCCATGGAGGAGCGAGGAATAGGAGAATGGATGTAACGTAGAGTTGGAAATGAGCCAAGCCAAGCCGAATATCTACGTCCTCAAGATCGGAAAAAAAAAAAAAAAAAAAAAAAAATAAACCCATCGTAAACGTATAAAAGCTTGGTTCGAATGACTTTTTCAAGCTCGGCTTGTTTTTTAACGATATGTTCACATAAAAACAACCTAAACACAAGTCGAACTTGAATTGGTCGATCTGATTTACAACCCTAAGCGTATGAAACCAAGTTAACCAACACCCAAAAAAGAAAACTACTTATAATCATTTTCAGCTTGGAGTTTTTAGTTTTAATTATGGGGTGTGTGGAAGTTTTACTTCTCGCAGACCCTCTTAATTTCCGACCGTCAGATCAATGAATTGAAGAATATCAAATAATATAAATTAATAAGGGTTGCGTAAAAAAGAGTTGTGTGAAAAATAAAAAAGGGTGTGTGAATATTACACACCCAATACTCTACCCCTCCTTAATTATATGCACGTACCAGCACTCTACCCCTCCTTCATAATTTAATTAAGTTTTCAAACTCAACCTATAAGCCTGGCTTGTGTCCAATATTTTGCTCGATCCACAAAGCTGCGGATCATCTTGTTAACTAGGGCCGACAAAGCCCACTCCGGACTTTCATAGCCTTCAACTCAACCTTGTTTCTTTTTCTTCTATGCTAGGCGATGATAAGATTAGGCTGGGAATGTTTAGGTGTTTGTAATCGGGAAATGGTTTACGCACTCTATTATTCTCCTCATGTACTCTCTTGTTTATTTTTTACGTTTAGATTGAATAAATCAAATAAGAATTAAAAAACAAAAACACTAATAATGAGAAAATGGAAGTGCAAAAGTCATTTCCCTTTCGGACTCCGGTAAACAACATTCCCTTTGTAAAGGATCACGGAAGGAGACGCATATGATGAATGAATGATTTAACCCCCTACCTGCCACCCTGTTTCTCTAGGTACCATTTGGTATGTGAGACGGGACGGAATAGAGTGGGACAAGGCGTTTCGTCCCACGTTTGGTGCGCCTAAAATGGGTGGAACGAGCTGTTTCACGGGACGAATTTTGGGTGAATTTTCGTTCCACCTCACCCCCCTGGAACGACTCGTTCCACATCCGTGGAACACAAAATTATAACTTCTCCGTCTCCTTCTTCTTGCTCCTTGTTTCCATCCGAGGGCATCTTTGCTCCCGCTCCGTTCCGTTCCGTCCTGTCCCCTCCCGTCCCGTCCCATTCCGTTCCGTCCCGTCTGGTCTGCATACCAAACGATACCCTAATGAAGGGGTTCCGCTTCTTCTATGTGAGGTAGCGCATACGTAAGACGTAAGAGCGACCAAGGTAGAGCGCCGGCATTGGCCGCCAAGTTACCATGCTTACCAGCTCTTACCATTGCCGCCTGTAGGCTGTTCCAAAGTCGACAAAACTTAACTGGATAAAAACCTAATCCCGTGTCTTGAGGTCACGTAAACTCACACTGATTTCAACGTCTTAGTACAGCTAATACATCTCATGTCTTGTTTTTATTGCTCTTCTATATAGATTTCTTAGATGATGACATGTCTCATGAGTTATCTTATGAGGGACTTAGTTGAGAAGGAAAAAACATTTAAAGAAATTCCTCTTCATAATGAGATCACGTGACGAGACAGATAAACAAATGGTTGTATACAACTGATAGTAAGGAAGATATATGCCACGGGTAAGAACTCTTATATCTAAATACAAGTTACAACATCGATAACTCGAACAACGAATCAAAGATTGGTAAAACACTACCCAAAATTGCAACAAGAAGAAACAAGTTTAAAAATTATTTCAAACATTTGTGGTTGCAAGCTTTGTTTTTGGGACACACAAATCAAAATGGCATAGAAACTACAAGAAGGGTTTTCGGTTCCCTGTTCCTGCTTCCCCTTGAAGTACATTGGGTGACACTAACAGCAAAAAGGACAGGAAATATGGATATGATCTTGCAAACTGAATCCCAGTTTTCATACTTGATGATTCATTCTTCATTCAATCAGATTACCTTCCCCACAAGAAAATACCACTTCTTTATTCATACTAAGTTCTAATAAAAACCTCGGTGTAGCTAATCTGACTAGAGCAGTGTGCTCATCTACACCCAAATTCGAACTCGTGATCTCGTGTGCAAAGTAAATGCTCTTAACCAACTAAGCTACAAATCCCACAAACCCTTTGTCTCCTTACTGTAGTTTAGATTAGATAAATTAGAATATGGCTCGAACAAACAAAAAAGTAAACACCCTCATTAAAATATAATTCAACACATATAAATATAAAGCCAATTACAACAACAAATGATTACTACATGAACTTCTTTCTTGTTTTGGCTAAAACATAATCAAGTAGCTACCAAAAAAAAAAAAAAAAATAGCTCTATGGCACTTGCCTCTCAGCAGCTTCAGCTACAATGGGCAATCTGGGCACCTGACCCAAAACGCAAGAAGCAGACCCATAAACCAAACACACCAAAAGGAAGAGAAACACAGTACTATCCATGCTCATCAGCACATCCAATCCCAACCCGTCTTTCGGGTTAAAGCTCCTCTCCAACAAATCCGGAAAAATCAACAGCACATCAAGCACAATCACTTGCATAGTATTGAACCTCACATATCTGCTAAAATTTGAGTTTCTAACCACCCCAAAGTAAAGGGTTAAAAATACCAAAAACCCATTGAAGGGGAAGCTCTTGAAGACCCTTATGGCTGGAATCAACGGCTGGATAAGGGTTTGGACGGCGGTGAACTGGGTAATCACGTATTTTCCGTACTGGATGCCGTCGAAGAAGGGGTAGAAGTAGCAGACGGCGGAGATGAGGCGGTCGGGGGCGTCGACGGAGTCGTCGGTGCCTTTGGATTGGGTTGTGGTGAGTGGTCTTCTGGGTTTGATTTTGTTGGTGCGTTTAGTGAGGATGGAGTGGTGGTGGTTTAGAGAGAAGAGGAAGGGGGAGTGGAGGCGGAGGAGGGGTTTGGAGTGAGGAAGGGTGACGGTGAGAGGGGTGGTGGGTGAGAGAAGGCCGGACATAGCCATCTCTTTGGAGGAAATGAAATGAAAGGTTTGGGTTTTTGGGTGGAATGGAAAGAGGAGAAGAGAAAGATGCGTGAGAGATTGGGTCATGACCCAAAAGAATATCTCCTCTCCTTGGAAGACAGAAACGAACAAAAAATGACATGTCGTATAAAGAGGGGATTGGAGAGACTGGTCTTTGGACTTTCGTCGTCAACTAAAAATTTATGAGTATTCGTTCTTGAATTTGTAGTAATGTGGAATAATAGTCATTCTGCTGTAACACTATTAGAATTTTCATCTAAAATAAAAATTTTTAATAATGTAGAATAATGGTCTTTTTTGTTGTAACACTGTTAGAACTTTCATCCGAAATAAAGGGTCCAAAGGACAAATAAATGGTATAAGTTGTGATGGAGTTACCTAAAATAACTATTGTTCTACATTATGACATGTTCGTGGACTAATTTTAATTCAAAGACTACAGTTCTATTTCAATCAAAGTTAGGGTCTAAGACCATCTCCAAAGGAGATATCAAATCCTAGGTGGAATTCCTTGTAATCAAATTTGAAGGTATAAGTGAGCTTTAACCGATATGTCAATCCTATGTGGATTGACATATGAGAAAAGATGATGTCAAATTTTTTTTAATTATTTTATTATATGGGTCCTATTAATGTATCAATTATAGATCTTGAAAAATGTATTTTAATTGATTTCTTTTTAAAATGAATTCTACAAATATCATTTATAACAAAGAAACATATCGGTTGGAAAAAAAAGAAAATCTAACATTGTCATATCAGCCATCAAATTAACATTTGACATTTATCTTTTGACATCTTCTTTGAAGATGCTCTAAGACTTCAATTTTAACTAAAATTTTAACCAAACAAATATGAGTTTAGTAGGAGACATTTTGGCTTCGTTTGATTTCTTATATCCCGAGTTCAATCTCTTTCCCTCGTTCAAGTGATAAGAGTGCAAAAGTGTATAAAAAATGTCAAGCTCTTGTTATCGGAGCCTCGGATTGAAAAGGAAATAAATTGTCAAGGAAATATTGGATTTTAAGATGGTTTGATGTATTAGAAAATTAAACCATATAACAAGTTAAGGGATTTTGTTATTTTAATTAGGGGTGGGTTTGGTACGGTTACCGTACCAAAACACCTATGCCAATTACCGTACCAAATTTTTGGTTTGACAAAATCTTTTACCACTACTGCACCAAACTTTCGATATACCAAATTTCGATATGTCAAGTAGTTTGGTTGGTATGGTATGGTAATCATAATTGTCATTTTGTTTTGAGCCACTTTTCTTGGCCAACATTTTATTTTATTTTTCAACCCTATTCAAGGGCAAGACCTTTTTTTGTGCCTCTATCTCATATAAGGTAGCCTAAACTCATCAATCATTCATTATTCACATTTGTACATGTATAATAAGTCAAATGACGCATCAAGATTCATGATGAAAATTAATGTTACAATCCAAATAGAAGTTACAAACCAAATCAAATAGAAGTTAAGTTTACAATCCAAATAGAAATTAAATTTTCAAACCAAATAAAAATTGGAGGCATTGACCTTATTAGTAGCATTTAGAACAAGAATTGAAGTTGAATACCATTTATATTATTAAAATATATATAATATATTTTCGGTATGGTACGGTAATACCATCGGTAATGGTATCGAATACCAATACCGTACCACAAAATTTAGTTTCGGTACAATACCGTGCCATTATCGATTGGCACAAAATCGATATGGTACAGTTAACAATTTGGTTGGCACATTAATTTGGCAAAAAAAAATCCACCCCTAATTCTAATTAACTTTGACTTTTTTTTGTGAATATGCCCAATCGACAGGAAAAATTCGACATTGATTTGGTTTCCTTGGAAATTTTTTGTCAAAATCTAACTAGTTTGTTATGGTTTTGTAGTGAAACTCTTCCAATTTGGATTGCGTTTAGTCCTAATTAAAGATAAACCTAGGAAACTGTTCGCCGTCGGCTCTAGCCTTTGGCTTGGGAGCCGGTGGCAATCCCCGCCCCCCTCTCACCCCCCTAGAGGGCTGGCTACACCCTCCTATTTTCCTCCTTCACTCCCATGTCCTGTGCCCTTTCCCTCTTTCTTCCTTCCCATCCCCTCTGTCCTTTCCCTTTTACAACATGCCACCCCCTCTTCCTCCCCCTTTCCAGTCTTCTCCCCTCTTTTATTTCGATTTTTTTTTTATAGTTTTATCTTTGTTTTCTCTAAGCTTGGTCTCATCTGGCGTTTTTCACATGCTTTTACTGCTTTTTGTTATTTACTTTTCTTTCATCCCTCCTTATTAGCCGTGATATTCCATCATCACCCCATCATGTGCTCGGATCTACGGTCACTAATTCGAAATTAGATATCAAATCCACTTCCCTCTCTCACTTTCTCTCCCCCAACTGGCATGCCGGATCCCCATCGAGGCCATGTGTTTAGCACTTTGGCCATAGTAAAGGTATTTTACATACTCCCTTAGCCTCATTTCTATCCATATGGTACTTTCTTTGTGTATATTTGCAGGGGTTCATGAAAGGGATTTAAATTCGGTGTCTACTTTCCTAGTTTGAAGTTTGACTTCTTTCAAGGATGTGTCGGTGGTGGCAAGTAGGTTTATACTGCTTAAGGTTAGAGTTTTTTTGTTGTTTGTTTTTGTTACCTATGGGCCTAAGTATGTGTGTGTCTCCCGTTGTATCTTGCGCTAGAGCTCTCATTTTGCTTGAGTCTTTTACTTTATCTGTTGTTGTTTAGCTAGCTCTTTTTGGCCTTTGTATTGTTTTTTTCATTTTTCCTGTTGTTGGATGTCTTTTGGTCTCTCTCTTTCTTGTACTAGTTTTTATTTTTATTTTTTTAATGGAAGTAACTTTTTCAACAAAAGAAATACATATACGTGAAATTCTTTGAGTGCTTTGAAAATATTTCGACAATAAATTTGTTTTTCTTTCTTACAAATCAATTAATTATTTTTTACCATTTAAATTGATTGCACTTTAGCAAGTGGTCATCTACCATAGTGGTGGAGAGTAGCGTTATCCTTGCATCATACCGTGGTTTCAAACTCCGTCGGCTCTTTAATCTAACAAATTTATTATTTGACAAAATAATTTGAATCTATCGTTTGACAAAAAAATTTGATTGCACTTTAATTTATCGCCATTTAGTCTTTTTCTCTTTAAATGCTTGTGTCAGGGTTTCAAAAATCTCACATATAAGTCCAATCATTTCTCAAAGCCCAACTATAAAAGTGTAACAAGCCAAGCTTAAATTCATGCAAAAGTGTAAAAAACATATAATATATAAATTGGACATTTGTATAATCATGCTAAACCCATGCAAATTCATACATATTTATCACACCAAACTTTGTTACAATGCTAACGTTGTAAATAAATCACACCAACCATGCTACATGTTAAAGTGGGCCCAAGCCACATCTTGGGGCTTGCCAAATGGATTGTAGTGTGGATGGTTGTCGAAGTTTACTGGCCTTACGTGGAACGAGGTTGTGGAAGACGTTTGGATGCTTGGAGCACCAAAATTCCAACCCATAATCTTTGGCTTCACGTGGGCAAGTTTAAGAGAGAACAAACCAAGTTTTCTCTTTACCTTACAAACCAAATAGGACACTTATGAGACAACCAAACTCAAAGCTGGACCGCCTACAAGATCACGTTCAAATATAGAGCTGCGCGCCTCATTAATGGAGAGAAAAGGAACACTTCCCTTCCAAGATTGCACAGAAAAACAAGAAAGGAAAACAAGGAGGAGTTTTGCCAAAGATAGAGTCTGTGTACTGACGTTGGAAGAAGACGCTATGGGCAGTGTGTTCAACCCAATCGTCACAAGGCTAGTAACATTCTTCAATGTTACACCAAAGACAAATGCTATAGATGTGCCCATGGAAGAAGAAGAGAAGACTTAGCCAAAATAGGAAGAAATAAGGAAACTAAGGGATTCCCTAGGTGAAACCGGAAAGGATCCCTACACCAATAAAATGAAAAAGAACGCAACAAGGAGGAGGAACGATGACAACAAGCACAAGGGCAAAAATGCACCAAGCAGAGCAAGTTTTCTCTACGTGCAGGAAACCCTAGTTCTTGAAGGATAAGCTTTCCTTTCATTTTGGATTTCCTCATAAGCTTCCTTAGTCTTTGTAAAACTGCCAAAGAACTAGAAATCCTAGATTAGCTATCTTTAAACCATGCATGCACGCATAGTCGCTCTCTCACACTAAAACAATGAACTTTTAGCTTTCACGCTACGCTTCATTCAGGCAAGTTACAATTTACATAATCATGTAATCATTGCTAAATTGGAGTCATTGATGATGAAATTAGGGTTCCACCATAAAATCAATTGGCAATATGAGGAGTAGCCCAAGATCATATAATCACATAGCAAACCTTATCCCTCACCAATGTGGGACAACTCTCAACACGCTCCGGCACGTGTGACGGATTTTTAAGCCTACACGTGGACAATAACTGGGTGACGTGGAGTGCGTGTGGCCATTAAGCTTCACACGCGAACAACCTTGCTTTTATACCATGATGAAATTGAGATTCCACCATAAAACTAATTGGTAATATGGGGAGTATCCCAATATCATATAAGCACATAACAAATCTTATCCCTTACCAATGTGGAACAACTCTCAACAATTAATTTAACTGAAATACTTCTAAGACGTGCTAATTCTTTAAAGTATTTTAAGACTAGTGCTAGAAACCAACCAGGAGAGTAGAAAGTTTCTATCGTGGTCCATACACAACTCGGCAAAAAGGTCCCCGACAGCTTGCAATAGGAGCATTGTAAATTGATTACTTATCATTTCGATTCATACATCTGTTTGTCTAGGTTGATGTGATTTCTCATCAATTCAGTGATTACGTCATCCCCAAATCCATATCACATTCGCCAAAGACTTCACGTCCGTCAAAGACAACATGCTTCACATCCGTCAGAGACAAACATACTTCAGTTTCACAGGAACAACACACTTACGCTCGTTCAAAAATTGTTGTGCTCAAGGCATTGAGAAACCTCGACCATTATGCATTCCTTTCTTAATCGCAATTGTAT